CCTTATACCTATTTGGGCCTTCAACTCCAAGGCAACCAAATCCAAACTCCCAAGATACAATTACGTGTAGATCATCTTCACACCCTTAATGATTTTCAAAAATTAATGGGAGACATTCAGTGGCTAAGACTGTATTTAAAATTACCCACTTGTGTACTCTTACCCCTTAATGATATTTTATTTTATTTTATTTTTTTCATTTTTCTTTTATTATTCATATGTGCATACAAGGCTTGGTTTATTTCTCCCCCCTGACCCCACCCCCTCCCTTACCACCCACTCCACCCCCTCCCGCTCCCCCCCTCAATACCCAGCAGAAACTATTTTGCCCTTATCTCTAATTTTGTTGTAGAGAGAGTATAAGCAATAATAGGAAGGAACAAGGGGTTTTGCTGGTTGAGATAAGGATAGCTATACAGGGCATTGACTCACATTGATTTCCTGTGCGTGGGTGTTACCTTCTAGGTTAATTCTTTTTAATCTAACCTTTTCTCTAGTTCCTGGTCCCCTTTTCCTATTGGCCTCAGTTGCTTTTAAGGTATCTGCTTTAGTTTCTCTGCGTTAAGGGCAACAAATGCTAGCTAATTTTTTAGGTGTCTTACCTATCCTCACCCTTCCTTGTATGCTCTCACTTTTATCATGTGCTCAAAGTCCAATCCCCTTGTTGTGTTTACCCAAAGGTGACTCCCACCCCACCTCCCCTCGAAAACTCACCCCCGAGGCTCAACAGGCATTAAACCAAGTCACAAAAGCCATTACCCAACAGTTTGTTACACAAATTTCTTATAGCCTCCCCCTGATCCTGGTCATTCTACATACTCCCCACACACCTACAGGAATTTTTTGGCAAAGGGATCCACATTTTAAAAATAAAGGTTGCCCCTTGTTCTGGGTCCATTTACCCACCACATCCTCCAAGGTTATTACTGTTTATCCTGCTCAGGTAGCTTCTGTTATTGTCAAAGGTCGTTTACTCTCTCGACAACACTTTGGCAAGGACCCTGATAAAATCTTAATCCCGTACACTAAAGACCAAACCCAATTTTTATTACAGACAGAAGACGAATGGAGCATTGCTCTATCAGGGTTTTTAGGAACAATTGATAATCACCTCCCAAGTGACCCCCTTTTACATTTTGCCCAATTACATCCCTTTATTTTTCCCAAAATTACTCAAAAGGCTCCCATTCCTCAAGCCCTCACTGTTTTCACAGATGGCTCCAGTAATGGCTGTGCAGTCTTTGTTGTCGGTAATCAACCTACTACCTTTGAGACTGCCTATCAGTCAGCACAGCTTGTGGAACTGTTTGCCATAGCACAAGTTTTTATAACCTTTCTCGATAAACCTGTTAATATTTATACAGACAGTGCCTACATTGCTCATTCTGTGCCCCTGCTGGAGATTTCACCCGCCATTAAGGCCTCTTCCAATGCGGCCTTTCTGTTTCATCAGCTTCAACAGCTAATCCAGACCAGACGCCACCCATTTTTCTTAGGCCATATCAGAGCACACTCTGACCTTCCCGGTCCCTTACACAGGGAAACGCCCAAGCTGATGCAGCTACGCGCTCTATCTTTCCAATCTTTGCCGGCTCCATCCAAAGAGCCACCGAGTTACACACTCTTCACCATCTAAATTCCCAAAGCCTTCGATTGTTTTGTAAAATTACCAGACAACAGGCACGAGAGATAGTTAAGGCATGCCCTGCCTGCACTATCTCCCTTCCCATTCAACATTTGGGAGTCAATCCCCGAGGATTACTACCCAACCAGGTGTGGCAAATGGATGTTACTCATTTTCCCGAATTCGGAAAAACCAAATATATACATGTTACTATAGATACCTTCAGTGGCTTTATTTTTGCATCTCCACACTCTGGGGAAGCTACCAAAGATGCCCTTTCTCATCTTGTTTCAGCCTTCACCGTTATGGGTAAACCTACACACATTAAGACAGATAATGGCCCTGCATATACAGTTCTAAGTTTAAACAGTTCTGTTCTACTCTACAAATTTCCCATACTACTGGGATTCCTTATAATCCCCAGGGTCAGGGCATCGTAGAACGTGCCCACCTCACTCTGAAAACTTGGCTGACCCGTCTTAAAGCCTCTACCCTTACCTTTACCACTCCCAGAGATCGCCTAAACCATACATTATTTACCCTCAACTTTCTCACCCTAGACAGCGACGGCCACTCGGCCGCGGACAGACACTGGCACCCCTCGTCTAACACTGTCCGCCACCCGTCATGTGGCGCGATCCTCTTACGTATAAATGGAAAGGCCCAGATCCTGTCCTCATTTGGGGCCGAGGCTCAGCTTGTGTTTTGGATCAAGAACAGGCTGCCCCTAGATGGTTACCAGAACGCCTAATAAAACAGGTTAATGACTTAACAAAACCCAGGGAGAAAGACCCTCTCCCTGAGGACGCATTATCTTCTCTTACAGATGCTGTTCACACGCTGGATGAAGATTCTACTTGCGACACTCCTGCTAAACAGGTTTGCTGATGGAGGATTTCGGGACCCTGGCTTAGCGCTCAAGAGCTTTTTGGTGCCCCCTGTGAATGCAGGGGAGGACACTTGTCCATAGCCCCCACCAGCTATGCCCTGACCGTGGATTGCATAACTAAGGTGGCTTATCAGCGTATAGAGCAAAACTCATACATTGGGGGATTTTGGCAGCCTTCTTGGGTATGTGTTAATAAACCAAAAGTCTCCACCGCTTCAAAAGAAATTAAAAATTGTTCAGCTACCTGTCACCACACTTCGGCAGTGCATAGCTCTTGCTATGCCCAAGCCTCTCTCTGCCGCGGCAAAAACGGACAACAGTTTTTTGAGGCCATTCTTATTGCTGGCTCTGAACAAGGGGTCATAGGGGGAGGTAGCGCCGACTCTGTCGTGCAGATACCCGGCTTTCTCGGCCAAACCCAATATACCGTTCACCTCTCCGGCAAATTGGCTGGATGTGAGGGCAGCGCTGGCAAACCCTCCTGCTGGCCCCTTAAGGCCCCTACAGGGGTCTCTGACGGTGGAGGACCCACGGATGCTGTCAAACATCTTCAAGTGATTGAGCTTTTAAAACCCCAAATCCCCGAACTCACATATCACCCCTTAATGTTGCCTAAATCTCAGATTCCAGATTTAGATCCCAATACATTAGATATTTTGGGAAGTACCTTCTCCTTGCTTAACACTTCCAACCCCACCCTTGCTAAGGATTGCTGGCTTTGCATGACCACAGGAGCAGTAATGCCCATGGCAATACCTGTCAACTCCACCATAAATAATCAGGATACCTGTCAATCTGGACTTCCCTTTAAAGTACAGCCTATGGATGCACCTACAGTATGCCTTCAAGGCAGGATGCAAAATAATTCTTATGATATTGACGTTGGGGTTAGTTCTTTTGGAAATTGCTCATCAGTTCTAAATTATTCCTCACCCACCCCAGCTCTTTGTCCCCCAACGGTACAGTTTTTTTGTGTGGAGGAAACTCAGCCTTCCCCAGGCTTCCAGCAAATTGGACTGGTGGCTGTGTTGTTGCCTTATTACTCCCAGATATTACTGTTTTCAGGAGATGAACCTTGCCCATTCCTAGCTTAGACACCTTAATTAAAAGACATAAACGGGCAATACAAGCCTTACCGCTCCTTGCCAGCCTTGGAATAACAGCAGCTATAGGCACAGGTACAGCTGGCTTAGGCACGGCTATACACTCTTACCGTCGCCTATCTCAACAACTTATAAATGATGTACAAACTCTATCTGGAACCATTAAGGATTTACAGGACCAAATAGACTCCCTGGCAGAAGTAGTCCTTCAGAACAGGCGAGGCTTAGACCTGCTAACAGCCAACCAGGGAGGTATCTGCTTGGCCTTAGGGGAAAGATGCTGCTTTTATGCCAATAAATCAGGCATAGTACGCACCAAAATTAAACAGCTTCAAGAAGATTTAGAAAAGAGACGAAGGGAGCTATTTGAAAACCCCCTCTGGACTGGACTTAATGGAATTCTACCCTACCTTCTTCCACTATTAGGCCCCTTGCTAGGTCTACTTTTAATTGTGATCATAGGGCCCTGCATTATAAACAGGCTGATACAATTCATTAAAGAACAAATTAACACCTTAGCCTCTAAGCCTATACAGGTCCATTATCATCGTCTGGATATGGAAGACCGTGCTCCTGAGACCCTCCTTTCAATAAGAACTCGCTAAATGCTCCATCTGGGTTTCCAAATTTTCTCTCTGCCACCCCTCTTCTTATATAACATTCTTGACCACTCATCGCCCATTGGGCCCTCCTCCACTGGGCCCCTCTGCTTGGGGGAGGCAGCACCCAGGGAGAGTGATCATAAAGGCTTTTCTAAACGAGGGTGCAGGTAAGACTGCAGGAGGGTGGATCCTAGGATCCCCAGACCCAAGACCTCTGTATGACATGCCCTGGTGCATGGCGGTTGGCATGCTCCTAAAAAATCCGCCTCCTCAAAAAACATGCCGAGGAGATTCTCTTGAGAACTTAGCAAGGACGCTTGCTTACAAAGCAAAATGATCTCCACCCTGAGGAACTGGGCCTCTGTCATCCCCTCTCAATAAGCCGACATATTCTGGTCATGTTTGTATAAGAATAAGGGGGAAATGTCAGAGACAAGGCTCCCTTTGTGAGCCATTCTGTCTTGACCTTGCCCACGGTTGTTTGTCCCAACTTCTCCACCTCCAGCACAAGATGGCGCCGTCCCTGCTTCTCTTCCGGGAGTTTACCTTGCCGCCGGCGCGAACGTGCACCCTATCAGAAGTCCTATAGCAGAACCAGCCAACCAGCCTGCACCTCGTCGTACCCCTCACTCCCTCAGCACATAAATACCCCTGTGTGAACAATAAAATTTTGCAGCTTGATCAGAACCCTTGTCTTGCTGTCTCCTTCGTGTCTCTTGTCCCTTCATTCTTCCCCTTCTAGGTTCGCTACCCACGCTGATGTGTCCTGCAGGACGGGACAACAAACCAGTGAGATACACTGGGAATACCCCAGCATGGGCACTGACTCACCCACCAAGCCCAAAGATGTCCTTAGCACATTGGTACCCCTGGCTGATCATCTTATATCGAAGCTAATCCAGCAGCTTCCGTCCCTCATCCCCAACAGTGACATGAGATCTCCTATGTCTGATATCATCCACAACTTGGAAATTGACTGCTCTGATCCTGATGTGCAGGCAGTCTGTTCTAAGTTCATCCTCAGAACAGGCTACCTGATGAAAGTTCTCAGTACACAGCAAGAAGCCAGTACATCCAGAACTGACAGGGATACAGACCAGTGGAAAACAGAGGACTACATCAGTGACAACACAGACGTTCAGAGTAAACAGAAGGGGCAGGAATCAAGTGAGGTGAGCAAATCTATAAAACATAAGACCCCAATTTTCCCATCGTTTAGGATATGTCACTGAAGCAGGAAGACCAGGGGCTCTAGTCCAGTGCAGTTATGAGGCCGAGACAGTGTCCCCCACTTTGCTCTTTTGGAGAGTGAAGTGGGACCTAAACCAGATAGAATTTAATAGAAAAAAATGCAAATTAATAAGGCATGTAGCACACTATATTTGGTGTGTTCTTTAAGAACCCACAAGCTCCTCACCGGGGGGAATGAGTTTACATAGTTTTCATCCTTCTCATCTCTTTATCATCTAATTAAGTTATTCTTTAGCTTACAGAAAGAACTCAGGGACTTGACCCTAAGAAGAAACTCGCCTTTCTTGAAATTTCTATAAACTCCTATACTGCTTTTAATTTGTATGTATAGTTCAACTTGTATTTGTATTTATTTGTGTTTTCATTATTTCCTTTGCTTGCTTAAATGGTAAGCTCTGAAAGGACAGGAAGCCTGCAGTGTTTTACCTGCCGTAGAAAGTAATGGCAGTCAAAGGAAGAGAGATAAACATTATGTCAACTCCACAATGAGGAATAACACAATGCAATATTTATTTCAAGTGGCATACAGCGTCCAAAAACAGACAGAATAGGTGTTCCCAAGGGGTGTGTGTGTGTGTGTGAATTAATTTCACATTATAAGGATATGCTCCACCACTGAGCTACACTCCTAGCCTAACACTTGAAATGTCACCTTCTAATATCCTAGTCAGTGGGAAAAATAAACAATGGTAATAGAACAGCTTCCTAATAATTTGGGATCAAGTAACAAAACATTCCTACATTTCACCTTAAACAAAAGTAGTTTGGTAAATGTAAAGACAGAGAGAGAAAAGGAAGGAGGAAGGGAGGGAAGAAGGTGGAGAGAGAGTGAGAGAGAGATAGAGAGAGAGAGAGAGAGAGAACATGAGTGCAAGCTCTGAGAAAGAAAGGGAGAGAAACTAACTACCAAAGTGTTAGGAGAAAACAGGCAATCCTTTTATAGTTTTGTGGTGGAAAGAGCTTTCTAAGCCTGATGCCATGGCTAGGAACCTTGGGTAGATTTGAGCACGTTGTCTCTGATGCCTAGCCATCTTAGCATTTATGGATGCTAGGCATAGGACAAAGAGTTTTCCACAGATCATCTGATCTAATCCTCACAAAATTCCTGTGAGGAAGATCTCATCAATCCTGTTTTACAAATGAAGGAGATCATTTAAAGCCTCAGTGGAAAACCCAAAGGCAAAACAAACAACAATAACCACAAAAAAACCACTCCAATTTCCCTGACCATAAAGCCTGTACTGCTTATTACTGTGAATTCATTCTCCAGGGGAGGGTTTTTTGGGTTGTTTTTGTTTTTGTTTTGTTGTTATTTATTCATTTGTTTTTGTACTGGGGTTTGAATTCAGAGTCTCACACTTGCTAGGCAAATGCCCAATTTTTGAGATAGGGTCTCAAGTTTTTGCCCAGGCCAGCCTGGGACCATGGTCCTCCAATCCCTCTGGGATTACAGGCATGAATCACCATGTGCTGCCCTGAGTTTCAGAGTTTTTGTCACATAAATCTTATACATCTTTGGTTAAATTTATTCTGAGGGACTTTGTTCATCTTTATTGCTAGTGTAAATGGGATCTTTCTTCCAGTTTTCTATTGGTGGTACATAGCAAAGCTATTGAGGTGTGTGGGCTACCAGCTGCATGCAAGATCCTAAGTTAGGTACTATGGAAGAGAAAAAGAACTAGTAACAGAGTAGAATTCCTGTGTTCAGAAAACGTATCTCACTGGGTAGATAAGACTTAAAATAAATAGAAGGAACGGATAAAGATCTGAAGATAGTCATTGTGGTGGATAATCATGATTGTGCTTTCTTCCAAAACAGATTTATTACCAGAGAACACCAAAAAAGGATGATAGAGAAGGCTCCTCAAGGTAAATATAGGTCTGGCAGTCTTTTAATGAGGATCTGAGAACTAGGGCAGAACTTAGAACTCATCTCTCAACTCTAGGGGAGAACTTAGAACTCACTGGTTTAACAGTGAGGAAACTGTCAGAGGTGTGAAGTATACTCATTTCCCATAGGGTTTTGACTGGCTCCAGCAAAAATAGTTCCCTAGTCAAGGTGGAGGTAGCCAGGACTTTGCCATCACCAGTCCCTCAAGCAAAGAGGGTGAAGAGTAAGAGGTTTTGGCTGTGCCTGCTCCTGCTGGTGGTGGGCATCAGGTCCAGGCAGAGGCCTTCTTGGAGGCTTTGGGGACTGGGTCGGGAAGCCCCAGGATGTTAGACTACAGGGCTGGTGAAAGATGGAGTGTCTGAGTCCTTCCTGTAAAGGGGTGGGAAAACTTACCTTATCAGTCCTCCAGGTTACCTTCTCATCTCTACTCTCTCTTTTATCCAAACCTCATAGAGTATTAGCTGGGAGAGACCTTAGACAATAGTTTGTCTCTTCCTTTTATAATAAGGACATGGAGAAGGAGACGGGCAAGATCTTGCCCTGAGGTCACACTGCTAGTATCAGGAAGGTGGCTCCTTTCAAGCCTGACACTTTGCCATTGATTACACTGTGGTTGGGCTGTGATTACATTTTACATCATGAAACAGTACTCACATGCCATGAAGACAACCATAGTCTCTGGAATGATACATCTGACTTTTCCTATTCTGTTTGTATTCAGAAAAGATACGTCGTGTGTTAGGGCTAGTCAAAGCCTTTAAACTGATTTCATGCTACATTTATTAGTGACAGCCTGCAGTAGAAAAATCTATGATACAGACAACTTCATTAGTTGGATTCAGACATTTGCTTGGGCTCGGTGTGATTCAACTTATGGGTAAAGCAACTAGGAAAACAAGCATCTTCTCCCTCACACATCCCCCCACCCCCAGTGAGTGAATGATGTATGAGAGACCAAGTTTGCAGGGGACTGATATGAAAGACTCGGGAGAGGGTGAAATGCTTCTTCCCAGTATGGTTGTGCAGTCTGTACACTGCACAAGGTTACTTAGCAGAGGGGATAAGTGGGGCTGACGATCCTGCCTATGCTGCATGCAAGCCACACACAAGGTCTCCCCAGACACTGTGGGGCTCTTTCGGACAGGCATGGACAGCTGCTGGAAGCCCTGCATGAATGAAATTGTTTTCAAGTCTCCAGGTCTGGGGTGACTTTGCTCATTATGATTATGGACCAAAGCACAAGTTTTTGTCTTAGTAAGACCTGAGATGTACATCATAAGAGACTTGTAAAACAGCATGAATCACTAACTGTCTTGTGCATGCGTTTTCATCCAAGGGGCTTTTTCGCATTTCTGCGCAGGAGATACCCAACAGAAAGTGAGAGTCAGGCAAGTTTGAAGAAGACTTGGTTCTATGGCCAGAAAAGGGAGGGGAAAGCAGAATTAATATCTCCCCTTCTCTTTTCTAGGAGGGCTTTTTCCAGTTAAGGCAGCCACTTTGGTTTAGGGATATGTACAGATCTCTCAATGCCACATGCTTGAAATATATGGCCCAGAAGCTACATGACAAGGACTCTTCTGATGATGATGAGATTTTCAATAAAGATGCAGGGTGAATGACTGAGGGGTGATTTAAGATTCCTAGCTAACATGAGAATAAGGAAAAGTAGGGACTTTCATTATACATTTTAATGACAATAGTATTTGACAAGCAGTGCCGTATGAGACAAAAATTTGCCAGTTTCTGGGGCGGGATGGGCATCATTGTATGGGCTGAGTGGAGAGCACCTCAGCCAGTTCCCTCTTCGCACCCTAAGAGGATAATACTTAGCTTTCTGTCTATGAAGTAAAGCTGAGGCCACAGGGCCTGTGAGGGCCTGTTTAACTCTGGCTTCCTTTTACTTTGTCCTCCCACCTGTAGCCTGGGAACCTGTACTCAGGGGCACAGGCAATCCCCTTGACAGATCCACACTGAAAATCAGAATGGTAAAGGGGCTGGTGATGGCTCAAGCAGTAAAGTGCTGCTTTGCAGGCACAAAGTACTGAGTTCAAATCTCAATACAGTCAAAGACAAAAAAGATATTTGGGGCTGAGGAAGTAGCTTAGTGGGAGAATGTCTGCCCAGCATATGCAAGGTCCTGGGTTCAATTCCCCAGCATTGCTAAATCAAAAAATAATGGTGAGGAGGATAAATGGCATTAATGTCACTTAATCCATCTCATAGTGGAAGGGCTAAAAAGGGCCAAAGTCAAACCTCTAAATTATTCCCAGGTGAGTGTAGTACAGCAAGGTTCTTAAGAAAACCCCCCTTACCTTTCAGCAGCATCTTAAGGATGCTATCAGAAAGCTTACCATAGGGGATCCAGAGTCACAGCCGGAAGAGGTTCTCCTCAAAGATAAATTTCAGCCCCCAGATATCCATAGAAAACTCCAAAAGTCTGTGGCTGAAGGAGAAAAGTCATTGGACCAATTAATACAGCTAGCCATGTCTGTATATTATAACCGGGATATTACTAAAAGGAGAGAAAAAGACAAAAAACACCATGACCTCATTGCAGCTCTCAAAAAATGCCCCACCTGACTGGGGCCTGCATCTTGAACTTGCTACCATGGTGGACAGGAGGGTCACTTCCACAGAGAATGCTCAAGGGCAACAACCCAGGAGACAGCCCCGCCCCCAACCAGGACCCAGCCCTCTCTGCAAAGGTAACCACTGGAGGTCTAAGTGCCCCTGTCTCCAGATGGAAGGTGAGGTGCCACCTCCTATGGATTGGTGGGTCCTGGCCTCCTGTCCATGCTCCACTTCTTGGCATCCATGTTGAGGAGCCATAATGGCAGAAAAGCAAAAGATCATTTTCTGGCTAGACAGTGGAGCTTGTTTCTCTGTTTTACCTTTCTCCCCTGGTCCCCGGTCCAATGACAAGGTTATCATTGGGGGCAAATCTGGCCAGCCCCTAGAGCACTATTTTTACCTGGCCTGTGGCCTGCTCTTGGGGAGACCTCCTCTTCTGTCACTCTTTCCTCATAGTACCTAAAACTCCAGTGTTCCTGCTGGGACAGGATTTACTATCTCAACTAAAAGCTCAAATTCTCCTTCCCCCAGGCAGCTATCTCTACTGCCCCCTCCTTCAGGAACAAATAGATCCCACAGTGTGGACCAATTGGATGACTGTAGGGCGAGCCTGGATGGCCCTCCCTATTCAAATAAAACTCAAAGATCCCTCTGTTTCCACACCCAAAAACATCCCCTCAAGTTGAGGGACAACGAGGCTTTATGCCTATCATAAATTCCTTAAAAAAACAAGGGCTACTAATTAGTTGCTCCAGCCCCTATGATAAATTAAAAATTTTTAGTTAATCTTAAAATACAAGTTACAAAGTAAACAAGTGGAAAGGATATAGATAGGTATTGAGTGTATTTTTTGAGAAGTTAAAGGAAAAAAGGAATTTTTTGGATGAGAAAGGATTTTGTAAAGAAGGGTTTGTCCTAAAGATTATTTCAAATATGGAGAGGAGGGATACTGAAAAACCATAAAAGGGTTCAAAATATTACATAAAGATCTGAGTAAATCTTAAAAATGTATACTAAAAAGCTACAGTGTGTGATAAAGTTAAAGTTGACTATAATCTAAGAGTTGCCTAAAAGATTTTTAGGGTCATGTCAAATAAAATCAAATTCTCTATGTCTATAAAATAATAAGGTTATCTTAATATTGTTCTGCTCTAAGTAACATCTACAGAAAAAAACTGTTACAGGGAAAGATTTTATCAAAATTGTGTTTTCTGTTGATCTTGTCAAGCTTTAGGTATTACTGAATCACAGTTCATTTACATATTTGCTCATGTGTCTTAAATGACCACCTTGTTACAGTGTTGTGTCTATATTTTATCTAAATATGATACATTTACAAAGTTAAAAGTGTCAATTTATATAAAATAATGAGATAAAGCTCTCTTTTATCCAAAAGTGTTACACTTAACCTAAATCCTGACAGCCCCTTGTCTCCCACAGGTCACCTACCTAGGTGTGTTCTTAAAGGGACAGACTCACTCCCTGAGTCACGAGGAAATCAACCCAATCCTCTGTTTCCCTCTCCCCCATACCATAAAGCATCTTAGAGCTTTCTTGGGAGTTACAGGATTTTGTAAAATCTAGATCCCTAGATATACAGCCCTTACCAGACACCTTTTTATGCTCCTACTAATATTCCTATTTGGGCCTTGTATAATAAATGCTCTCTCCAGATTTATATCTCAACAGGTCCAACGTATCAAACTCCAACTTTTAGTCAAGGAATACTCACCTCTGCCTAGGCATGAGCCCTCCATCCCCGTTCTATGGGGGGGGGGAGCCCCTGGAAACAACACAGGTCAACCCCTGAGACAAGTGCCCTCTCTCCTATCCCCCCATCACCCCATTGTCAGCACCAGTCATCATCACCCCTCTCCCCAAAAGCAGTTGGGTGCTTATCTCAGAGGGGGGATTTGTTGGGTCTGGAGAACTAAGGCAGATGAGTGAGTATCCCATCCCCCATGGATAGCAATATCATTCCTACATCCTGAGGAGATGGGGCCTGCATTCCTGCATCCTAAAGGAGAGATACAGATCTGCCACAGGGCTGATGAGCAAAATGCTCTCAAGATTGCTCCCCTCCACCAATAAAGGTGCAAACCAAACCAGTTCAACTGAGAAAGCCCGCGATCCATGGCCAATGAGAAAAACCCCCCAACCCAGAGTTAAAACGTCCATAAAGACCCCAGCCTTCACCTGTGCAGCGAGCCACCGGCTTCCGGGCTCCACTGCAGTACCTTAGCTGTAGCCTTTCCTTTCTCTCTAATAAATCCTACTTTATACACCGGCTTTGAATCATCATTCAGCTGCCTCATGAGTCAGTCCTCTGACCTGTGCAGGCCAGGACCCTCCACACCTGTACGTAACAGTGGGGGGTCTTCCAAAGACTCTCTTCTTAGAGAGTCACGACCATCTCATGCCACCTCCAACTACTCTATTTCAGCCCTTGGATGACAGATCTGGACTGTGACTGTCGCCTTGCTGGAGTCAGGACCCCCTTTTAAAAGACCTGGAAGCACAGGATCTCCTGGTACTGAGGGACCAGCACAGCGGAATAAGGCCCAAAGAGACCATGTGCCAAATCCCAGCTCTGTGGGTCATAAAGGGAGTGTTAACGACCACCTCCCAGGCTAGGGACCATAGAGGAAGGAATAGTGTGTTGAAGTCCTGCAAACCCCACCCTCCACCCCAACTTCCTGTACATGGGCCTCTTCTTCCCTCTAGTGGCTGCTGGGTGAATTGCACAGCAAGTATCTTCTTGGTCTGAAGATGGGGAAATGGGAGGAGCTTTTTTCCTACAGATTAAATTGATGCTGCTGGCTCTCAACTATGCCTGACCCCCACCTCCCTTTTCACAAAATATGTTTTGTGTAATATAGTAATTATTAATATTTATGCACCTCTCTTTTCTTGGTATTGACACACAAGAAACTGCACACAGTCATAGAGTA